TTCTGAGGCAGTTATTATTATTGTTGGTGGTGGTGGTCTATGGCAGCTAGAGCATCTGAGGCAGCTAGAGTATTGGACCTAGAGTCAGGGAGGCCTGAGTTTGAAACCTTTCTCCAACTCTTACTAGCTATGCGACCACTGGCAAGTTACTTACCCTCTCTCTGCTTCAATTTCCTCATTTGTGAAGATAGGGAGAGCCATAGCACCTACCTCCTAGGGTTGTGGTGAGAATCACATTAGACAATATTTGTAAATCACCTTAAGGCACAACATAAAAGCTAGGTTTATATTGTTGTTGTTGTCATCATAATAATAACCTTTTGTGTGTGTGTGTTTGTTTGGGTATCTGCAGAAGAAATTGAATCTCTTTTCCAGAATATAAACATCGTGGTCGTACCCTGAGATCTTCTCCAGGATAAATATCCCTAGTTCCTTCAACTGACCATCACATAGAAAGCAGTCAGTGTCCTTCGCTCCTACGTTAGCCCAAATGTGGACAATCTCAGGCTTGTCAATCTCCTTCCTTTTTTGTGGCTCCTGAGCTGAACACATCTCCAGGTTTACAGAGCCCACTGCACAGAACACATTCCACCATTGTGGGCATGGATTACACTAATTCAAATAGTTATTTTCCCCAAAAGGTTACACTTATTAGGATTTCACTCCATCCTTTGTCTCCTTTCTCTCTTGTTTACTCAAGAATCCATCTTACTCAACTGGTTGTATGAATAGAAAAAGAGGAAATGATGGGAATCCATCAGAAAACAAATATTTATTGAGCACAGAATCAGGACCTATTCCAAACCTAATAGAAATAAAGAGGAAAGAGACTGATTAAAGTTACTCAGACTTCCCCCAAGAGGGAAAGTGGGAAGTACCGGAAGGATCTGGAACCCTCCAGTGATTGGCCACTAGATATTGGCCTTAACATCAAAGGGATTCTATCAAGCCTAGGGTTTACCCTTTCCTGGTCTGTTAATGGTTAATGCCTTCAAAGGAATCTGGGATCTATTTATTCTAGACTTTAAGAGCTTGAAGATACCTTTGTTCTCCAAAGTATTAAATAGCACCTAACCACTTCACATTATTCAGTTAGCTTTTAGGTCTGGGACAGGCATATTATTACATGTCATTTATAAAGACCGATGAGAATGAGATCCAGAGTAGCAGTCACTTAGTCAAGCAGCCAATCAACAAATATTCATTAAAGGCTTACTCTGGACTAGGCACAATACTGAGCTCTGGGGTTAACAAAGCAAAAATAAAAATCATCTCTGCCCTCAAAGAGCTGACATTCTGCTGTGGAATACAGCCGGCAGTGGCATTGCAAGTATACATAAAACATATTCAAAATCAGTACAAGGGCAATTATGGAAGGGGACCTAGCACCAAGGGGATCAGTAATGTAGAAGGTGGCATTGAATGGAGATAATAACAGTAATAGTAACAACAGCCAGAACTGATATAGCACTTCAAAGTTGGGAAATCATTTTTAAAAATATTATTTCATTGTATCTTCACAATGACCCTTGGAAGTAGGTTCTTTTCTTATTTGCTTTTTATAGATGAGGAAACTAAGGCAAATGGATGTGAAGTGACTTCACCAGGGTCACACAGCTAGTAATGTCTGAGGCAGAACTTGAGCTCAGTTCTTCCAGATTCTAGTCTAGCATTCTATGTGCTGTGACACCCAGATGAAAACAAGGCATTCTAGCAGGCAGAGCTCATTCCAGGGTGGGATTAGCCAGTACCAAGGCAGAGTCAGGAGATGGAATGTTATGTGTGAGGTATAACGAGGTCATTTGGGATGGAGTGCAAAATGTTCAAAAGGGAAATAATGTGAAATGAGCAATGTGGAACTTAGGAGTGCTGAAGGGGTTCTTGGCCTCAGAACAAGAAAGAAAGCATGTAGAAATAGAGGAATGTCCAGGCCAGAGGTTCAGGAACTGAGAAGCAAGGGAAAAGTGAAGAAAGTGAGGCAATCAATACAGACAACTCCCCATTCTATTGCAAGAGTTTCCCTGTGAAAGGGAGAAAAAATATAGGATATTAATTCTTGGAGATGGTAGGATGGAGTGAAGATTTTGTCAGGATAGGAGAGATTTGGATGTGGGCTTCTAGGCAACAGGAAAGGAAACAGTAGATAGGGAAAGACTGAGGATTAAGAGGGATGGGCTAATTGTGGGTAGGGGTGATCTACCTGAGAAGCTAGGAGAGGATGGGATCTATCCAAGGTACTTACAGGAGGGGTTGTCCTTAGCAAGAAGAAGAGCCACCTCTTTTAATTAGAGACTAGAACAAGGGAGGAGAGGGAAAAGGATGGTGTCGAAGGATTTGAAGTGGAAGCATATGTATCTTTGCATCCTTTGGCACATAAGTGATCCACCAGTGCTTTGCATATTACTAATACACCCCATAGTTAAATTAAGCTAGCTATAATATGAGAGAGAGAGAGAGAGAAAGAGAGAGAGAGAGAGAGAGAGAGAGAGAGAGAGAGAGAGAGAGAGAGAGAGAGAGAGAGAGAGAGAGAGAATGTGTGTGTACTGGACTTAGAGCCAGGAAGACTTGGTTTCAACTCTTGTCCCTAAAACCCAGTGGCTATACAACCTTGAGTAAGTCTTTACAAAACACTTTTTCCCACAAATAAAGGCAAATCTAAACAATTGGAAAAATAATTACTCATGAGTAGACCAAGCCAATATAATCAAAATGACCATTCTACTGAAATTAATTTACTTATTCAGTGCCAGACCAACCAAACTACTAAATAATAATTTTATAGAGATAGGAAAAAAAAATTAAAAAAATTCAGCCGGAAGAACAAAATGTCAAGAATTTCAAAGAAATCAGTGGAAAAAAGGAGGAGGGGAGGTGGCCTAGCCATAGCAGATCTCAAATTGTATTACAAAGTGGTAATCATCAAAAAAAATATAATATTAGTGGGATCAATGGAATAGATTAGGTACACAATACACAGTAGTAAATAACCATAGTCAAAGTGTTCAATGAACACAAAGATCCAAGCTTTCGAGACAAGAACTCACTATTTAACAAAAACTGCTAGGAAAACTGGAAAGCAGTTTGAAAGAAACTGGGTATATAGACCAACATCTTAGACCACACACCAAGATAAGGTCAAAATGGGTGTATGATTTATACAGAAAGGATGATACCATAAGCAAAGTAGGGGAGTGTGGAAGGGTTTACTTGTCACATCTATGGATATGGAAAGAATTTATGACCAAACAAGATATAAAGAGCATTACAGGATATAAAATAGATAATTTTGATTCCACTACATTAAAAAGGATTTTTGTATAAGCAAAACCAATGCAGACAAGATTAGAAGGAAAGTAGAAAACTGGGGGAACATTTTTTACACCAAGTTCTCTGACAAAAACCTTGTTTCACAAATATATGCAAAATTGAGTCAAATTTGTAAGAATACAAGTAGTTCTTCAATTGACAAAGTGTCAAAAGGTATGGGCAGGCAGTTTTTAGTTGAATAAATCAAAGCTGTCTATAGTCATATGAAAAAATGTTCTAAATCACTATTGATTAGGGAAGTGCAAATTAAAACAACACTGAGGTATCACATCACACCTATCAGATTGACTAAAATGACAGAAAAGGAAAATGACAAATGTTGGAGGGGATGTGGGAAAAGTGGGACACTAATGCATTGTTGGTGGAGTTGTGAACTGATCCAACCATTCTGGAGAGCAATTTGGAATTATGCTTAAAAGGTTATAAAACTGTGCATGCCCTTTGATCCAGCAATAGCACTACTAGGTCTATATCCCAAAGATATCAGGAAAAAGAGAAAAAAGGATCTATATGTAACAAAATATTTATAGCAGCTCTTTTTGTGGTGGCAAAGACTTAGAAATTGAGGGGATCTGTCAATTGAGAAATGGCTCAATAAGTTGTGGTATATGGGTGTGATGGAATACTATTGTGCTCTAAGAAATGACTAGCAGTATTCTTTCAGGAAATCCTAGAAAGTCTGGTGCAAAGTGAAGTGAGCAGAACCAGAACACCGTACACAGTAGTTGGTTGCTTCATTGGTTGCTGTCCTTTGTTCTCAAAGAGGACCAAAACAACATCATTATGTTGGGGTCAAGGTACAGTGGGTCCAACCGCAGCTGTTCTGACCAATGTGAGCTCAGAATGCTCTACCACATGTCAGGCACAAATAGCCTATCTGAACATTTGGGGTACAGTCTCAAAATTTGCACATTGCACGTTTCTTTTCAGCTACTTCAATTCTGCTTTGCTCATAGAGCACAGCACCTTGTTTGATGTAAGCATGCCATACTGGGGGTTCCTTTGCCAGTGTTTCCCACGTCATGCAATCAATTTCAAAGTTCTTCAGAGAAACCTCTTGAGGGCCTTCTTGTATTGCTTCTTCTGACCACCATGTGAGTACAGCAACAGCAATATTTTATGATGATAGTGAATGACTTAGCTATTCTCAGCAATACAATGATACAACATAATTCTGAAGAACCTATAATTAAAATACTATCTGCTTACAGAGAAAGAGCTGACGATGTCTGAATGCAGATTGAGGAGTTCTTTTTTTAAAAAAAACCCGCTTTGTTTTTCTCATTTTTTTTGTCTGTGACCAATATGGAGATATGTTTTGCATTACTGCATGTAAAACCTATATCAAATTGTTGGTTTTCTCAACGAGGAAGGAGGGAAAAGAGAGAGGAAGAGAACTTGGAACTCGATTTTTTTAAATGAATGGTAAAAATTATTTTGCATGTGATTGGAAAAATAAAATGTTTAATTAAAATAAAAGTCAAGCATTCATTGAATGCCTACTTCGCTTCAGGCACTGTGTTAAGTACTAGAGATACAAAGAAAGGCCAAAAACATCCTCTGCTCTCAATGAGTCTCTAACTGATTTCAGTTTTTTAAGTTAAAAATTAACATGAAATACATTTGAAAATATAGCCCAGTGAAATTTTCTATGATGATATCAAATGCCATACCTGCTTTTTGATCCCCTGGTCTTCCTTTACATCTCTCTTATGTAGGACATGACGTTTCCGTGGATAAATTACATCAAATATCTTTTTCCCAGGGGATTCATTGACAGCTCTTACTAGGAAAAATAAGAAGGAAGATTATTGAAGCAACATTGGAATATGCCAGTTCATAAATGAAATATTTCCTTGAACTAGTCACTAGCCATAGCCCTTCAATGTTTGTCAAACGCTTGATGTGCTTGCTACATTCAAGCCTTCCAATGACCCTGTGGGGAAGGTTCTGTCATTGGAATTATACCGATTTTACAAATGAGGAAACTGTGGTCCAGATAAAGTAAGAGATTTTACTCACATTGCTATGGAGTGTCAGATAGAAGATTCTAAGCTAGTTCTCACCTAATTCCATGCCAAAGGTGTTTTCAATTCAGATCAACTCAATTCAAACTTTGATTTAAGTAAAAACATTGTACCATTTCCTGGGAGATAAAGAGAGAAAAATGAAACAATTCCTATTCCCAATGAAATCATCTTTTATTGTAGGGAAGCACCATGCAGAAGTAAATATGAAACAAGTACAGACACCACACTTTCTCAGGTGACAATTACTTGCCCAGAGCTGAAATAAGTCAAAGCTGCTACCGAGAAAGTATAGAAGATCCTAGAATTTATTCATAGTAGGTACTTAAATGAATTAATGAAAGAATGAATACGTCAAAGTCCACGTAAGGAGATGTCAAATACAAAGGGAAAGCAGGTGGATGCCATAGTGGATAGACTGTTTAACTTGGAGTCAGGAGAACCTGAGTTCAAATGCTGATTCATATTTTAGCCATGTGACTTTGGGCAAGTCACTAATTCTCTGTGTCTCAATTTTCTCATCTGTAAACTGGGGATAATCACAGGAACTACCTCACAGAGTTGTAGTGAGGATCAAATAAAGTGCTATGTGTAAATTCCATTGCAAACCTTTAAAACATTATGTGAATATTATTATTATTATATCAGAAATCATAGAAGTCAAGATAAAGATGCATATGCCATTCTTCCTATGATGCCCAAATTTTCCCTATACATTCTGTGTTAGAATGGGGAAGGCAGACATGAGGAAGAGGGATGGGGATTAGCCTGTTAACAATCAATCAAATCACCAATCAATGAACAAACACACAAATTAATTAAGTAAATAATAAAATGAATAAATAAATGGATAGATAAACTAAATCCCTCAATTTAAAGCATTATCTTCATCTCAGTTCAGCCAGATTTTTAAAAGTGCTTCCTATGTGGGAGACAGCCTGGCTCTTAGGGTAGAAATGGGATGGCCTGAGAGAGGATAACTATATGAAAGTTTGACCTCTGACATATACTGGTTGTTTGACTGTAGGCAAGTCTCTTAACCTCTTGGTGTCCTAAGCAACTCTGTAAGACTAAATAGCATGACTGTTATCAATCTTCATTAGTAAAGTAAATTTCTACCCTGAGAAGCTGTCACTACAAAGATGAAATTCCAGGTCTGCATGAAGAAATTCAAAAGATTTTATACTGAGTGCCCCTACCTGTCCCAAGGAGCTTATATTATTTTGGGAGATATAATGTATCCAAAGACAAGTAAATTAAATGTTTATATTCAAAATAATTCAAAATAACGATATATTCAAAATAAAACTGTTTATATTCAAAATAATTGAGAGAGAAGATTAATAACTTCTGTATGAATAGGAAAGGCCTTGTGTTGGAGGTAGCATCTAAGTTAAGCTTTAAAAGGCTAAGAGATTTTTGTGGGTTTTTTAAATTTTTTTTCCCAAAAGTAGAGGTGAGCACATAGAGCATCATAGGCATGGGAGATAACCTTAGCAAAGGTGATCAGATGGCCAAGGGAATGCTACCCTTGGGGAAGCAGAAAGTTGGCCAATGTGACCAGAAGGTAGAATTGATGTGTGTGGGGGGGGTGAAATCAGTGAAAAAAGACAAAACAGAAAAACTTGATGAGGGCTTTTCAATGGCAGACAAAAGAGTTTATGTTTTATTCAAGAAGGAAAGGGAACCACAGAGGAGAGTAACATAACCAGGTCAATATTTCAGTCAAGTTAATTCAAAATGTCTCCCTGTGATGGAGTTACTTACACATTGATCAACCCTTGAACACTGGAAACCACTGGATGAAGGGGGGGGAGTGCAAAATTTTGGGGTCAGGGACTTATGTCCTGGCTGTCATTTAGGAACTATGGGACACCTTGATTAAGACATTTTGTCATAATATTATGGCAAAAGCTCAGGAATGGTAGTCATAAGACATGGGCCCAAATTATATTTCATCCACTTACTAGGCATGTGACCTTAATTAAGTCAGTCCATGAACAAGCATTTATTAAGAACCTACTATGCATCAAACATTGTACTAAGCACAGGTGATAAAAAGAAAGACAAAAGCAATCCCTGTCCTCAAGGAACTTACAAACTAGTAGGAGAAATAAGATTGCAAATAACTAGGTACATAAAAGATAGATGCATCTCAGAGGGGAAAATACTAGCAACTGGGGAGGCCATGGAAAGGGAGAGTTAGAACCAGGGAAGGGCTTCTATGGGAGATAATATTTGATCTGAGTCTTGAAAGAAGAGAAAGAAATTAAGAGGCAGAGAGGTAAGGGGACAGGGAATTCTAGGCATAAGGAGAGTCAGTACAAAAGCATAACAATCATGTTGTATCATGCATGAGGCTCAGCATGTAAGCCAGTATAGTTGAATCATGGAATTTAGAAACGGATAAAATGAAAAAAAATGGGAAAGGTAAGAAAGGGTCAGCTTTTTACTGGATTCTTAAATTTCTTTTCCAGCCTAAATGATCTTAAAAGTCCCTTCTACTTCTCAATCCTCTCACCTTTCTAGGCCTCAGTTTCCTTCTATGAAATAAGAGTGCTGGACAAATAGATCTCTGAGGTCTTCTCCAATTTTCACAATAGATTATAACTTTATCTTCCATATATGAGCTTAAGTAATCTTTCTAAATGGTTGGACAGTATTCTTGATTCCTGGAACTTAGCTTATCATGGGCCAGGACACTATTTTGATGTTGTGTGTCGGACATCTTTGAGGATATACTCTGCTTCCCTCTATTAGAAATTTCCAACCCCATTTAATAAGGTATGTTATTGTTGGACCTAATGGTCTCTAAAAGCTCTTCCAGCTCTAAATCTGTGATGCCACCATCCTACGCATGGACAGAAGAACAGGAAGAAAGTAACACCAGAAATGTATATCCGAAGACAAAAGCTTATAGAGAAGTCAGTGAAAGAGTCACAGAATAATATTATTTTAGAAAGCCAAAGACCAACAGAATAAAAGTGAGGGCAGTCTCATGCAAGATTACCACCAACAGAGAGCGAGTAGAGATAAAGAAATATCTATTGTTTATAGCTGTGGCCCAGACTGACACATAAGAAGTTAATTTCCCTTAAAGAAGAACATAGAGTCTGTGGGCAAGCCACTAAATAGCAAGTAATTAGCCTTAGAATGGGAGAACATGGATGGAGGCCACCTTAGGCCCTGAAAAGAATAGATACAGCCTCATCATTAGTTGGACCACAACAATTCACTACAACAAAGTCTGAACCTAAATGCAGAGTGCCTTTTCTAAATGTAGACTAGATGATGTAATGAATGTATCTGAGGAGAGAATCATCACTTGGTCAGTGGAAGCAAATGCCAAGGAACCAGATGAATAAATGTATAGTAGAATGTGGCCCAATTTCATTATCAAGGATTAAAGCAAAAGGACTATTATTATTATTGCTAGTGGGCTATTTTTTTTACCTCTTATATATTGTTCTAAGGTGTACATGCATTATGTTCTATGTTTTTAGAGTCTTAGCTTGTAATTTAATGCTTTGCATTATAACATATTTATTTTATATCATATTAATATGGATTTCAATTATCCAAGGGACTGAAATGCTTTTTGTCTATGAGGAGAAATGTAACACCAGCTTCAATGGCCCTGACACTATAGATACTGTTACTACATTTTGTTTTTGGCAATTGGGGTTAAGTGACTTGCCCAGAGTCACACACCTAGTAAGTGTCAAGTGTTTGGTCTAAGGCTGGATTTGAACTCAGGTGCTCCTGACTTCAGGGCCGGTGCTCTAACCATTTAGCCACCCAGTTGCTCCTGTTACTATATTTTTAAGGAGAGAATTGAATGTAGAGAAAGACAGTCAAATTATCTGTCATTATGGAGTATGTTTTAACTGTTATGGCTAGAGAAAGATTGCATGAGAATGCAGAGAAAAGATGAAGAGAACCTCTTTCTTGATAGACTCAGTTATTGAACCGTCAGAGACAAAAGACCAAAAAAAAAAAGATTCCTAAGAGAACTGAGTTTCAACTCTTATCTTGTAAACAAACTTGGCTACCATCTTGAAAGAACTGAATTATGATATAGTATTTCCAGACTTAAGGAGTAACTATAACAGTAATGTAGCACTGACTAGGGCTATGACCAGTCCCATATCTAATACTTTGTAATCAAGAATTTGTATTTTATGTTATTATTTGTTACACTATTCATAAATTGCATATTCAGTAACCTGTAAATTTATTTGATCCTAGGAGATTAGGGGATTAACTTTTGAGAGAAATGAGTGAGAGTTTATTGGAAAAGAGGCATCTCCAATTTATTTAATAAATGATATATAATGAATCAGGACAGGAATTTAGAACAAATTGATTAATAAAAGAGATATTGTAATTTTAACATTTTTTTAAAAAGCCAGAACAGATTACTTGATTGTGTTCGAATATAGCATAAATGAATGTAAATACTTTTTTTTAAGCATTTACTATATGTCAAGGGAAGCTACATGGCTCAGTGGATAGAGCACCAGGCTTTGAGTCCGAAAGACTCATTTCCCTGAATTCAAATATGGCTTCAGACACTTACAAGCTGTGTGACCATGGGCAAGTGACTTTACCCTGCTTGCCTCAGTTTCCTTATCTGTATATGGGTTGGAGAAGGAAGTTGCAAACTGCTCCAGTATCTTTGACAAGAAAATCCCAAATGGGATCCCGGAGAGTCAGCCACAACTAAATCAACATAACAACAATGTATGCCGAGCACTTT